CCCAACATTCTTATTATGTCTCCAAACTTTTCCCATCGGGAATTACATAAGATATATATGTATGTGCAGACGGTTATTATTTTCAACCCTGATGATGGAAAACAGCCGAAAACGCTTGGTTCAGAAATTGCAATTTTTTGGTTGTTAGTAAAACGCGTAACGGCGTAACGGCGTAACGAGAAGCCACTTATCGGGATTTTTTAATGTTTTTTTTTTTTGCAATTTTTTTTTATTTTATTGTTTTTTTTAAATTTTGTTATTATTTCTTAATGTGACCATTATTAACCGTGATTGGCGGGGTTTTTCCCGCCCCTTGGCCAAAGTTACCGCATTTCTGGAGACACTACAAAGCAACCTCGTTCCCAGGGCCTTTTCCCTTAGTTGGGGGTGGAGCTGGGGGTGGCCCCAGCTAAGGGAAAAGGCCCTGGGAACGAGGTTGACTAGAAAGTGCGGGCGCACTTTCTCAGGCTTCCATGAGGTCGGTCATGGAGGAGAACGATGATGGTAAGTTTTGGACTTTCATTTTCAGTCAGTTAGTTTCCTTTCTTGCTTCTCGATATTTTCAGTCACAATTTGTTTAGAGTAGTTGCAGGTTTCAGTAATTGAGTTGTTTTTGCGTTCGGCGCGCTATTTTTCAATTCTAACAACTTGCGTTTACGATTTTCCGCAGAAGTCATTTTCCTTGGGGAGAGAAGGCTTTCTGGTATAAGTGAAAGTTGAATACTTGATTTGATGGTACATAACATCTTCATAAGGTCATAGTAGTAGCAAGTATGATAAATATTGTAAGAAATAGACGACTTTTTTGAGAAACATGTTTCGGCATATATATGATGCTGTTTAATTCAAAATGCTCTACAGGAGGCAGGTTTGCATCTACCATAATCTCAGGGATATTACAATGACAGAAAGTAAGTCATACACTGGTATATCAAATTTTCCTTTCACAAACGATTGTTTTTCAAATAGCGAGATTTTCCTTCAATCGACGACCGAAGTCCAATTTTACCATCTTTCTTATTCTGTTTGCACTCTTATTTTTTTTTCCAAAATACTTCGCCGTGTTTTTAGATCTCTGGAAAAGAAAGCTGGAAACCTGTAGTCTTTTGTTACTTGTTTATTTCCAGCTAGCATACAACACTTCAAGAAATCTAGTCATTCTGAAAAATCTAAGAGCAAGAAGTTCAAGTCTCCGATAAACGAAAGTCTATTTACTAGTTCAAATTCATCGCACTTGAGATCAGTCACCAGGTAAACCCTAAGCGCTTCCTACTATCGCCGGGACTGCCGTAAATTTTCGTGTGTGAGCCCGGCCTTCACTGTTCCATTTGAGTAATTTGGCAACTGCACGCCGGTAGCATCACCCACAAGGTAACTTGGTCGAAGCCCCCTTTTACCCACAAATTTGGGCCCACGACCTCCTCCAGGGCCTTCTTGAGCGGCCTTCATAAGTGGGTACGGATTACGGCCATTGTCT